ATCAAATATAGTTCAAAAGGACCACAAATTATTATATTTTATTAGGCCCTAATAATTATGATAATAGTTAAATTTTGTGAGTAAAGAAAATACTAATAATCATATTAGTATTAATTTTTCATTGTTTATAAAACATAGCACATGTCACAGTGTGCATTCAGTAAAAAGAATGAGACATTTTAAGAGCTTAAGAAACTACAGAGGTAGTATTTTTATTTCAATGAACTTGAATTTTCAAATCTTTGTTGTGTTACAATGCAATAAATTGTTACAATATAATTTTTGTTTTGGGCAAAAATGCTGCTGAAAAAATAAGACACTTGGGGTGATCTATCTCCTCTACTCCTCCCAGATATGCCACTGGTCCTAGCTCATTCATCACTACTAACCATATGTATTAAAGTACTGCATTTGCCTTCCTGGAAATATCCCACAATGCCACTTCTTCCCCAATAGTGACATAATTAATTCAGTTGACTTATCACTTACTGAGCCATAGTGTTTGTTTCCTGTTAGGGAAAATCTGAAAAGAAATGTTTTAAAAATTGAAGTTTAGAAATGTTAGGATTGATTTGGATATACAAAAGGAGTGATTATGTTTTACAAGCCAAGTCTGAGGTGCTCAAGTGTTTCTGAGTCATCTTTTTTAGTTTTTTGGCTCTATAAACAGTTACATTTCCACTGTAATGAGAAATGTCAGTATTTCTACTATGTCAAAACAAAGCAAAACAAAAACAAAAACACTTTGAACACTACTGGGAAGTGATGGATCTTTGGGGATGGGTTCTAGAGGATGGAAGTTAGGGGATATATCCTTGAATAAGATTGTAGAACCTGGTCCCTTTCCTTTCTTCTCTTTTACTTTCTGGGTTTGGGGTGAGCCATTCTCCTACACTACTTGCTTCCTATCATGATACATTGTCTGACCAGAGCCAAAACAATGAGGTCAATCATGGACTAGAACATCACATTATAAGCCAAAAGAAACTTCTAATCATTATAGATTGGTGGTCTCAAGTATGTATTATAGTGACAGAAAGCTAAGTAACAAACTCCTAACCTGGTAATCCAAGAGTTTGAGTTTTCTTTTGCTCAGCAGTGATCTTTAGCTCATTGCAATCAATAAACACTGGAAAATTTTTCAATTAAATCTGACATGGAACATAAAAATAAAAATTATAATTTGGTTTGTGTATGAGAAATTAAATACATTTTAGAGAACTTGAATAAGTAAAATACTGTCAGGTTGAAACACATTTTTGATAAAGTAAACATATACTCACATCAAAAAGTATTGTTATATTTTTAAATATACTTTGAGCAAAGAACACACAAAATAGGTTCGTAAAAGTCTTTAAGTACAGATGCCATTATGTCTGAAAACAGCATTTATTAATCTAAAGGTGTTTGAGCTGAATGCCACCACTTTTTGGAAGATTACCATACAAAATTCAACTTCTTTTTCCGATTTACCGAGTGCCTCCCATGTACGAGTTTGTATGTTACATTTCATTATTTAATTCTTATAACAACTCTAGGCACCATTATTATAATAACCCCACTGTAAGGACGAGAAAATTGAGACTCAAAGAAACGAAATCTTTATTCCAAAGTCACACAATTAGCAAGATATTTGAGAGCCATGACTGGTCTTCTGGGTCCAAATTTTGCATATAAGATGCCATCTTGAACTCGTCTCTTTAATTCAGCTCTTTGAAGCTCTGTGTGAGTGAACTTAGAATCCTGATAGCATAGCTACAGAAGAAGACAAAAGTGATTTGGCCAGGAGACAACCTGAATTCCTATGAAGCCAGGCAGCCTTGTTCCCAGCAAGAGAAAGAAATGGAGAGAAAGACTGTGACAATGAACTTCCCTGCTGCTGTTTTTGCTTGATAATCAAAGCAACTGATCTTTGAATATCCAATGCTAACTAAAAGGCTGGGCCTAAGCATACATCATAGGCAACCTAAGGGAAAAGACTGGAGTCAGGGGGGAATATTTTAAATTCTTGATGATACAAGTCAATAGGGTAATGTATGAAAGGCAAGGCTATAATTGAAAATAAAATTCAGGAGCAAATAAACATGTTCACAGAATTGTGCATCTATTCAGTTACAACTGTCCAATAAGCTGGGTGTGCTGGCACATGTCCATAATCCCAGAACATGGGAGGTGAGGTAAGATTTCCATGAGTTTGAGGCTAGCTTGGGCTACATAGTGTATTCGAGGTTAATCTGAGCTACATACTCTTCTGAAAAAGGAAAAAAAAATAAAGAAAGAAAAGAAGAGAAAAAAGAACTGTAGAATAATGCAATAGAGCTAAGAGCCCCTGAAGGTACCACAGTGCCTAGTAAGTTCCTTTTATGGGACAAAATGTTTCAGTGATACAACTGATTGTCTTGCTCTTTTCTTTTTTTGAAATGGGTAATGCACTTTTAATATGTTAAATATTTGTGATATTGTGGTGGAATTTAAATCAGTGAACCTTTACATGTTGACTTCTAATCAAGTCACAATAATAAATAGATTTCTTCTCAATCTTTAAATAGCAATAAGCTAACAATATAGATTTTGAAAAAACAGTGTTCCAGATGTCTTACTTTTCTCATTGCTGAGACAAAATACTCAGAACCCAAAGTGAAATGAGAAAAGCTTTATTCAGCTCATCACTTGTAGGCATTTCAGTCCATAGTTGGCTGAGTCCAGGGTGGCATGAGAGAGGGGCGTGACAGAGAGAAAAGGGTTCAAGGTGGTCAGGGTAGGCAGAAGGCAGCAAGCATCAAAAAACAAGCAACAGGTCCTTTCTGTCTCTCTATATTGTATCCAGGATGGGCACTCTTAATCCTAGCCAGAACTACGCTAAACCAATTAGTGAGCTAATCACTCTAGATTCAGTCACCTCTTAAAAAGTCCCACCTATGACCACATGAGGTTTGGGGGGGGACATACAGACAAAGGCACAACACTAGGCCTCGGATATAAACTCATTGGAAGGAAAATGAAACTTGAGACAGAGAGAATTAACAATAACCATAACCACTTCAGCCAGAAGCCTAGAATGTTTGCAAATTTCAGTATAAGGAAAAAGAATATCAGTATTTTCAAATGAATCAATATGAAAACACACCAGAGGAATGTTTGTGCAATACAAGTGAAAAAAAGCATTTTGGGGAAAAATTTATGGCATTGGGGAGTACATCAGACAATAAAAATCTTACATTAATAAACTCATGAAAAAAGAGCAGTTCAGAATTATCCTGATATAAATAGCAGATAAAGACATTTTGAGAAAAGAAAGCCACAGACCAATATCTGTAATGAACACACTCACACACACCCACACACAAAATTCTTAACAAAATATTTGTAAATTTACTGTAGCAATATATAAATGGATAATAACTTATAGTCAGAGGTTGTGAGGAGAACAATTACAGTCAGGACACATAATTTATAGTATTATTTTATCATTGTCATCCAGAATTAAATAAAAGAAAGTGCAGGAAATCGGTCCACAACACTAAAGACCCAGATTATTCAGTCAAGAGCCTGGATACCACAGCAACGTTCTGAATGAGTCCAACTAAAGACCTTGAGCCCATGACAATGTCTCCCACAAGTCCAACTGGAGGTCTAGAGCCCACAACAAGGACTCACACCAGTCTGTTTTATGGATCTGCTAGAAAGGTCCAAAGGTCAGTGGTGCAAGCCAGAAAGTCTGGGCCAGCAGGATGAAGGAGCTGTACCAGTAGACTGAAGGTTCTATACTGGAGTTGAGAAGTCATGCTTAAAATAAGGACCAGGGCTGCCCTGAAAAGTACCCCAGCCATTCTTAGTGATAAGAAGATCCCAAGCTCCTCCAATGATGATAACAGTTGAGTATATGCCAGAAAGCCAAGATGATAAGCCTCTTCTGGATATTAAACAGCACACGTCTTCCCCTCTGGAACCAGAAAGTGATGCTCAATGTAAAGACCAAAGCTCCCTCAAAGTGAACCACAGCCATTTTCACTGACGAGGTCCCAAGCTCCTCTGACGATAATGGCCAAATTCATATCGGAATAGCTAGTCATAATAAACTCCTCCAGGAGAACCAATGGCTTGAAACAGCAACACTCAGAAGAACCCACAATGCCTATCTTTTCTTCTCTATATCTCTATTTATGCTGGCAACTTTCCTCAAGTGGGCCATCTACACTCAGCACTGTGCCAATTTAATTCAGCTAGTGTTAAGTTGATCACCAGTTTTTAATCCATAACAGTACCTGATGACCAAGAAGGGTAACATATAAATGGTCATGAGTTTGGTTTAATATTTAAAAACCAACTAATAAAATTTGCACTACAAAAAACTAATAAGCAGTCTAAAAGATCACCCAAATAGACACATGAAAAAGATCTGAAAAAAATCCAACACCATTTTCTGATAAAAAGGATGCTAACAATAGATTCAACAAGAATCAGAGGGTCAAAAATTCTGACTGATAGTCTGAGGAGGTGAACAGAGTCTCAAAATAAATATGAAGTAAGAATTGGAGAGATGATCATAAAATCAAAAGATGACACCAAAAGTTCCATAGGTTGTATGAGCAAGTTTGCTGGGTTTCCCCAACCCAGTGATAATCTAGGGATGTGTACTGTGTTAAAAACTGAAATCATACAAAGACCAAATTAAAACAATCTACATTCATAATTAAGTTAGCAGCTGCATTTAATTAATGAGTTACAGAAATAGTGTTTAAGAGCACTGAACATGTATGTCAATTCTAAAGTATTAGTTGTACAGCAATGTGTAAAGTCTTAGAAAACATTAGAAAGAGATCAAATAATTCAGATATCAGCTGCTGTAAACTGTGATATTCTTATACATACAGCTCTAGACAACCACCCAGGTGATATTTCGGCTACTGTTCCAGGTTCAGGAACAGAATCCAGCAAAGCCTAAGAGTCCCTCATAGGGCCTCTCTTGCAGCTTTCAAAGTTCCTTTCCCTGCTCTGCCTCATTTGGGAAAAACTAGTTTTCTGACAGATGCTTTGAAGTCCTTGTTTCTCAGAGTGTAGATCAGGGGGTTGAGAGAGGGAGTCACAGTGGTATACAAAATGGCAGCAACTTTGTCCAAGAGCCCAGCAGAGCCCAGGACTGGCCGGATATAGGTGTAGAGCACAGTGGAGTAGTATAGAGTGACCACCACCAGGTGGGAAGAGCAAGTGGAGAAGGCTCGCTGTTTGCCTTCCGCTGACTGGATGCGCAGGATGCTGGTGATGATGAAGCTATAGGAAGTCATAGTCAGCAGGAAGTTCAGGCCAGTCAGAAACATGTCTGTGATGATGGTCATGACATCGCTGACAAAGGTGGGGCTGCAGGACAGCAAAAGCCCAGATGGGATCTCACAAAAAAAAGTGTGTGATAAGATTGGGGCCACAGAACGACAGTGGCAGAGTCAGACAGGTGAGGAGCAAGGAGTTGAGGGCCCCCGTGGACCACACAAAGGATGCTAGAGACACACAGACCCTACTGCTCATCAGGATGCCATAGTGCAGTGGCTGACAGATGGCCAGGTAGCGGTCATAGGCCATGGCAGAGAAGAGCAGCAGCTCAGAGCCTAGGAGCCAGGAGAAGACAAACATCTGGGTGAGGCATCCCCCAAAGGAGATGGTATTCTCAGCCACCAGGCTCTGCAGGGCCTTGGGCAGGACAGTTGAGATGCAGGCTACATCCAGCAGGGCCAAGTTGACAAGGAAGTAGTACATGGGGGTATGGAGGTTGGGGCTGGAGTAGATGGCCATTATGATCAGGCCATTGCCCATCAGGGCCACCACAAACAGAGTGAAGAAGAGGCAAAAGAGGGCTTCCTGGAGCCAAGGGTCATCTGTGAATCTCTGCAGGATGAACGTGGTCACAACTGACTGGGGTCATGAGCAGTGCTGGCCAGGTCTAAGTAGACTATCTCAGTGTGAGTGTCCCCTTCCAAAACAGAAGAGATGTATTTTTTAAAAATTAAATGATAAAGTAAAGCAACTTGATAAAATTAAATTCCATATAATGAACTACACATTCTGGGAAAGGAAATAAAGGTTTTAAAGATTCCAGCTACAATTAAAATGCTCATTAAAGTAAAAGACAAACCAGGTGCAGATCCTGCAGAGAAACCAGGTCTGGAAAAACAGGCACACACCAGGATCAGGTCCCTACTTGAAGGGGCAACCCATCCACAAGCCACAAGGCTCTTGAGAGGCAGAAGGCAGTCAAGTGCTGGTGAGCTGACCAGGAGCTTTCCCTGAGTTGGGGACAGGTGGAGGGAAGGTGGGATGATGGCAGCAATCAGCAATGGGGATGAGCAGTCTGCACCAGCCTCTTGGGGACATGACCTTTCCATGTGCCTACGTCACATGGAGGTGTGCAATGTAGGTCTCAAGGGGACTGACACCCAGGGACTGAAGCCAGTGTCAGGTTATTGACACACACATGAATTTGCTCTCTTTACCCTGAGCAGGAGCAACCAGAAATCTATTAATTCAGAAGTTCCTGTTTACAACCAGCACACCCAGGCTAAAACAGGATAACCAGGAGCCCGTGCTTCTGGCTCTTCAGAGGAGACCCCTCTGAAGAGGAAAGCCCTGTGCTCATCTGCTGGCCTGGGTCTCCTGGACTGCCAAAGCACCCAGGCTGGTGCAGGGCCTCAAGTCTGCTTCTCTTATGTTCTCCCCATTCCAGGCCCTGCAGGCTGTTTTGGGAGGTCACTCTGGGTATAGGGTAGACTCTGTAGCATTACACATTTCCAGTAAATGTCTGGCATGTGTCCAGAATGCACAGGTCCTGAATGCTGAGAAGTGAGGACAAGCAGAGCAGAGTGCCCTGTGATCAGGCTTTTCCCTGAAGAACTGTGTACATTGGCTAGTTAGTGAGGCCCACCCACCTCACTAGGGCAACTGAGGTGCAGTGAACAGTGTTTCTAGGGGTGCATTCTATATCAATGTGTGTTCCTTGACTCTCCGGGCATAGGGCCCATGTTGCTGGGTCAGGGGCTTTGGGCTGGTCATCTTATGCTGGCTCTGCTCCCATTTCAAGTCAAACAAAACAAACTAAAATGTGATGAAAAACACTGCCATCCATTGACAGGCCCCAGACTCCTTTTCAAGGAATGACTGTTTACCTGCAGAGTCTGCGGGACCTTTCAGCGAGTCTCCTCATGGACTGCACACGACAAACAGCCCCTTGGTTTCACAGTTGTACTGCTCACTGCTCAGTGGCAGGGATGTTTACGTAGGGTCCCCATGTGCCCAGACTGGTTGGTTAGATTTAACAAGCAAAATGTAAGTGCACAGTTAAACTTGAATTTCAGGTTAGCAGTTAGTATATTTTCAGTATAAGTATGTCATAAAATCTGCATAGGAAATTCTTATACAAAACAACATGTGTTGCTGACCTGAATTCAGACTTAGGAAGATGTCCCACATTCTCTCAGACCACCCTGTCTTTGAGGTCAGTAAAAATCTAGGACATTTCTGGTTCAATATTAATATATCACTAACAGGTCAAGGCCAATCTCAGAACCTGTTCCCTGTGCAAAATCCCCTACTCACCTCCAGTGTTTATCCTATGAATGGCTGAGCAGAAAGATCACCATATATTGGTGAGCACGACACAACTAGACAGAATCAGGATCACTGCTCTGCGAAGCAATAGGAGGTATCCTCCAATGACAGCTTCTCTGTCAGTAGAGAGATGGAGACAGGAATACAGAGAGGGCAGGTGAGATTAGATGCCTGGGTTAGGGGCAGGGGCTGTAGCAGGGAAGCAGCCAGATGACTAACTTATCCTCTCTTCTAAGTTCTACGGCTGAAACCAGCTCTACCTTTTCCTGAGCCACTTATGAAATGTGTCAGTCATGTTTCTGTATACTTATGAGCAAGATTCTGTATTAACCATATGGAAAATAAAACATTTCCAAAGGATTTCCAAAGTCATGTGTATATTAAACCCTACAGGTTCTGGGCATTCCAAGTTGGCTCCCTATATCAATGGTGATGAGGAATCTGAATGAAAGAGAGAGACAGAAACAGAAACAGAGATAGAGAGACAGAGAGACAGAGACAGAGACAGAGAAAAACAGAGATAGAGACAGAGAGAAAGAGAGAGGCAGAGAGACAGAGGCACAGACACAGAGACAGACAGAGAGATAAACATAGCTTGTGACGTGCTGCCCTGTCTATGTCCTGGAGCTTTCCTAGGTTTCTTCTGTACCTCTTCATGTTATTCTTGTAATATTTATTGGAACATATTAACTAGACTTGAGAAGTTTTCATAGTAGTACATGTATGTTCCTCTGACACAGGAGACATCAGGGCCCTCAAGAGCCCCACAGACTTGGGGAAATGAACCTCATTTAACAGCTGAAAGGAGAGAAATGGGCTCAGCACAATTTTAAACAGCAAAGTGCCATATGCTTTTGTAAAATAATGAAATATTCTAGAAGAGTCCCTAAGCCCTAAGCAATGGATTCTGAAATGGGACAGGTGGCCCTTTCCAGGGAGAATATGATCTAATTTCCTCAGATCCTCACCACACTGTGGAGCTCCAGAAAGGCCAGGGTCCTATTGCTCAGGTTCCAGGGGAAGCTACAGGCTTCATGCAATCCGAATTTAAATAAGGATGGACTTGGCTTTGTGATGAAAGTCAAGGCAACTGGTGCTCCTTGTGAGTCTTGACTCAGTTCCTCAGTGAGGTGGCTTGGGAGATTGGCTGTGAAGCCCAAAGAAGATAATTATTCAAAAAGTCATCCACAGTGTAGGGAGAGCTAATTTTGCCCCAGGGACAGATGTGAGATCGTACAGGTTCTGTGTGGCAGGAGGCCAGGTACTTGCTCAGGAGACACAGGGAGGTTAACACTCATGGCCGGATCAGACTTCTGGTTCAAGTTCAACAGATAATGATTTTAACTGTCTTTCACAATAGGGACTAGTTTAAAGGGAAAGGCTAGCTGTGTTTGTTGTGATAAAACTTAGATAGGAAAGGGAACTACCTGACTCTGGGGCTCCAGAGGGGAGCCCAAGCCAGCTGCTAGACCACAAGCATCCTGCCTCCTGTCAGAATATCTGAAAGGTCCTGGGTTCTGCTCATTAGCCAAGCTGCCTCTAAGGCTAAATCTGGCTCTTCTGAGAATTTATTGGTCATGTTTCCTTAAATGGACCCATAACCTCCAAACTGACATTCTCATACTTCTTCCTCATGACAGAAATTTCAAATTATGTAAATATCTTCAGCAACAACAGCCCATGAAAGAGAAAATGGAATGAATGGGGAAATCACATCATTGTCATAAAAGGGAAAAAAACTTTCATATATCAGTCTCCACACAACCTTTCCTCATATCCTTGTTGATTTCAGAACTTAACCTCTGCTGTGAATATAGCTCAGTGGTACAGTGCCTGCCTGGCAAGCACAAGGTCTTAAGTTCAGTTAAAGTATCAAAAACAAAATAAAACCTCTAATAAAACTTGTAGTTGATGGGGATTTCTGTTCTGGGTGTGGACAAGGAGGTAGAACTTTATATCTTTTACTGTTGCTTTGTACCAACAGCTCCTGAACCCAAAGCTGCCTCCCTCTGTCACTGAGTCAACTCTCTACTCACCACAAAGGTTTTTTGATTTAACACTAAAATGTTCTTTTATATTCATCTAAAACATGTGGAAGAGTCCAAGAGGTCCCTGGCTTGGAGTCATTTGATCCAGGCTCTGGGTATCTGAGGCTGAGCTACCAGCCTGTTCCTCAAGCTGTTCCATCTTCTCTGTGGCTGGAAGGGTTTGTTAAATTGTGACCCCAGAAGTATCATGGACACCAACCTTAAAAACAGTTGAGCTTTGCTGACAAGCAAGAGCTCTGCAAGGTTTATTCAGTAGTGTTTCATGGCAGAACCCATTCAGCCCTTGTCCTGCATGGGAGGGGTCTGGAGGGTGAAATTCCTTCCCAGACTTATTCTTTGGGGCCTACGGAGGCTCATGTCTGACTGCAGAAGGAAATGGCCAGTCCCTGCACCCAGTCTGTGGGAAGCTGCTTCAAAAACCAGGGCATCTGAATACACATGAGGACGTTATCCCATTGTTTGACATAGGTACACAATAGGATAACCTTAGGTAAGCATTGTATAAGCATGACAGCACAGACATTGCACGTATGCTACATGGTTATGATAGTAAACAAGAATGCAAACCTTGATAATGACTAATATAGACAAGCTGGGCAATAAAGACGCTTGCTGCATGCTGTTGTTGATGTTTCTCTGTATGTTTTCCCTTTTTATTTTAAAGAGAATAAAACAAAATAAAGCAAAATGAAGCAAAACAGAACAAAACACATAAGGGCAAAACAATGTAAATAATAAAGGACTTCAAAACAAGACAATAGGAAATCAGCAGTGGCTACCATAATGTCCTTTGTTTTCTTCAAAATTGTTGTCCATACCTTCACACACAATAAGTTAATACAAAACAAAATAGTATAAAAGCAATCAAAAGAATGAGAACCTTATGAGTCTTCAAAACCAGAAAATAAGAACTCAATAGTCTTGTATTCTTCAAAATAGCTGTCCATACCTTCACACATATTGAAATCAAACAATGGAAAACAGACTAAAACCAATCAAAACCAAGAATAAAAGCACTATTAGACTTCAAAATAACACGAAAGGAAATCAGCAAAGGCTACCATGATGTCTTGTTTTCTCCAATGGAGCTCTTCATACCATCACACGTACTAAAATCAATTCTTGTAAACTCTGCAAGAGAAGTTCTAGGCACAGATAAGCCTATACATGTACATTTGTCCTTTCTGTATTAGAGGGTAAAACAAAACAAAGTACAAGGAAAATAAGAAACAAGAGTCAAATAAATAATTATAATAAAAAATCTAAAACAATAACAATGTATGCTTTCAAAATAATGTGGTAGGAACATAACTAATTTTATGTTTTGCATGGTTATCTTCAAAAGTCTTACTCAAATTACCAGACATAGTCATGAAAAATTGATCTAATCCTGTAAGTGCTAAATGTTTTGTTCTAAGAACTAATAGAATTAGTAGTACAACCATCTTAGCTATCTTAAGGGTGTATATATAAATTTATATCTTTTTCTTTTCCCTTCCTTATTTTCTCCTTGTTCCTGAGTTATTTTTCCCCTTTGAGCATTTTCTTCCCCTTACATAATATTTTTTGAAGATTTTGGATCTTATTTATTCTTTCACTTTCTTAAACTAGAGAAACTATGGTTTTTACATAAGTGATTTTGATTTATTTCACTTATGAATACAGTCTCAAGTCGGATTCATTTACCTATAAAAGCCTCAATATGATCCTTCCTTATAGCTCCATTATATAAA